AAAGAGCCTCTATTTCCAGCAGTTTGGTTTGGTTTCAGCACCACTTTTGCTCTCGACGATGTTGCCACAAACCTGGTTATCATCAGTAAGATGAGGCGATGCGCCTGGTCGCTTGCCGGTTTAAAACTTCGATTTTCATAAAATATACAAAATACAAAAAAAAAATCAATTTTTATTAAGATTGTCTCGAAATATTTATCTTTATTTGACTTAACCTATAAATATAATATGGTTCGCTCAACGGATAGTGATTTCTGTCACCGTTATAGATTTTTGTCTGTATTACCGAAAACAATAAAACATCATCATCCGAAACTTTGTTGTAGATACAGCAATTACAGACTTGAATATATTTCAGCCTGGAGTATTTACACCAGACCAGCTGGCAGAAAAACACCTGAAAGACAGCAGCTACCTTACCGAATTGATTTGCGATATTGAAACATTAATCACCGAGGGTTATCTAGTATATATTTAGCCTCCCAAGTTTTTTTCACTGGAATTGCTTCTCGTACTGCTATTCTTTTCTCGAAGTGTACCATAGCCATAGTATTTATGAACCTTTCCATAAAATTCATGGATGGTACACTTCGAGAAAAAGGTGTTGGTAAATACGAGGGAAGATTAATGTTTCCGACTAATTCTGCATTCCATTGAGAAAGAGCTTGGGAGCTAAATAATACTAAATGTGCTTTAAAATGTTTTGGCAAAAAAGATGCCCTTCGTTATTAAATGTTTCAACTATCACCAAATCAAAAGATTCATTTGAATTCAGTAAAGATTGTACTTTTGTGTCTTTCAAGATGTTTTCTGTACAAGCTAGTGTTAGTTCATTAAATACTTCAAGATTTCTGAATATATTCAAGTCCTGTAGTTTATACAAGCTATCTACAACAAAAGTTTTAGTTATTAGTGTTTTATTGTTTTCAGTAATACAGATTAAAAAATCTATAATAACAGTGACAAGAAATGTCACTGTTATACTATCCGTTGGACAGACTAAAAAATATTATATTTATAGGTTAAGTCTTAAATAAGTGCAAATATTTTCAGGGCTGGTAGATCTTAATAAAAGGAACCAATTTTCTCTTTTCCGGACAACGGATGCATGAAAATCAAGTTTTAAACCGGTAAATTAAAGCGACCGAATGCATCCTTGTTTTATTTAGTTTCTCCGTCTTACTGATAAATCTGCAATAACCTGTGGTATTATTAAGGTTTGTGGCAACATCTGTCAGGGAGCGGGTAAAGTAAAAGTAAAGTGAGTGCTGTAATTACAAACCAAACAGAATTTGCTGGAAACCAAAAGAATTCGATAGAATTCTAGAACAGAACTTGCCAGAAGATCCGCAGCGATATATAAGGCGCTGCTGCGCTCAACAGTTTAGTTTAGTTTTATCCTTGTATATATATTTTTAAAGTAGATGAATTTTGAAGCTACCAATAAAAACAGAGAAAATAAAAATCGATAATTTTCGGACTGTGCCAATTGGTTACTAATCGACCAGATACTTTTTGTCTATTAGATATGCTATAAAAGCTGGCAATGATACAATTCGACCATTAGGTACCCATACACCAGCGTTCTTTCCTGCAGGAATGTCTAATCCAGCTGGAAAGAACGCCAGTTAGTGGGTATATGCACGACACATGCACCTTCCGTCTTTCTTGTCAGGATATACTGGCGTTCCAGCCCGACAAGATAAAACGTGTAAAAAATTTGTATTAGTGGTTTGGGGTCATTTCATTTGAGAGGTGATATCCATGTGTTGTTTCCTGTTAGGAAAGTCCTGTTGTTAAAACGCCAGGTAGTTTGTTTAAGTCTTAAATATTTATTAGCTAGTTAGTGTTTTACGAATTAATTACGATGGATTTGATAGAAGAAGAAATCGACACCCAAATGCAGTCTTTTGTCGATATAGAAGATGAAAAAAGTGAAAAAAGTGACTTGCGAATGGTCCCAAAAGGAATTTTAAAACAATTCATAGACACATATTGCTGGGCCTTCACCCTGCCCTATGGCAGGTTAAAATAAAGAGTTGTACACCAACAGAAATTTAAAGAATCGGGGATATTTGGAGTTGGTTAAAATGTGTGAAGAAGTTCGACTCTGAAGCAAAACCAGAAAATGGTTAAATCTAAAATTCAATCTTTGAGGGGGTCTTTTCTGAAAAGAGTTAAAAAGGTAATTAATGATATTTTAAATTGATTAGGCAGTGATTATTATATTATCTATATATTTTTAGGTCGAAAAGTCAAAGCGATCTGGAACGGGTGTTGATGAAATATATAAAACCACACTATGGTATTTTTAAGTACATGATGTTTTTAACTGATCATGAATTGCCCTCGAAAGTATTGACAATATTGATGACCCTTCTCCGTCAACCAGTATTATAAACAGTACTCAACAAATTTCTGAAACAGTGGAGGACATAAGCGATAGTGAATCTGTTAAGCACAGTGTTGAGGTGTAAACTTTATAATGATACCTATAAAGGAAAAAATTAATCAATAATTATTATACTTTAAAATTTATTAGAGTACAAAACTAAAAATATTATTTTAAATTAAAAGTTAAATTTTAATTAATATTGTAAGCGGAATTATGCTTTGCCCTTCTCAATCATGTTTTCTGCCAAGTCACACTACCATTTCCATTAAAAAATCCAGGTATTCTTGTCGAGTTTGTTTTGCCTCCACCAAAACATTACTTTGCTTCTTTTTTCAAATCCATACAATTCAACGGCATTATTACGCGATTCCCCATCTATTTTTTATATCATGTGTGATTTTGTTTTCACTGTCTACTGTTTTTCTGTTAAAATATGATTTACTTTTTACGACATAAAAATTATGCAAAACGCATATTGCTATTATAATATCTTTGGCGTTTTCAGGCTGTACAGTAATAGCAGTGTGCAATATTCTAAATCTTGCGGTAATTAATCCAAAACTATTTTCAACGACATTTCTAGCCCTCGATAAGCGATAGTTAAAAATTTTTTTTTATATGTAAGTTCAGATTGACTAAACGGTCTGAGTATATGTTTTTGCAGAGCAAATGCCTCGTCCCCCAAAAATACATAATTCATTTGTTCTATGTTTTCTTCCTTGAGAGGTAAATGCAGTTGATTATTTCTGAGGTATTGGTAGAATTTGGTATACTCTAAAATAGCCCCATCAGAGTTTCTTCCGTTTTTGCCCACATCTACATATAAAAATTCATAATCGCTGTTTACTAAAGCCATTAAAACAATACTATAGAACTTTTTATAATTGTAGTAAAATGCGCCTGTTTTAGCTGGACATGTTATTCTTATGTGTTTTCCATCGATAGCTCCACCGCAGTTAGGGAACTGCCAACGAGAGTTAAATCTTTCTCCAATATCCATCCATTCTTGGACAGTCTTGGGAAACTAAAACAAAAAACCGCGGTATAATATTTAGTGCTTCGGAGGGAAAACCTATGTAAAAACGGCGGTATAGACTTTGACTTTTGGGCTTGTTATAGGGTACAAATAAATTTTAATATAGGAAACAATATATTAAAAAAATTCTGAACCAATTTAAATCTCACAATTATACCTGTACCTACCTACACTGTAATGCCAAAAATTTTAATAATTCTATTATTAAAAAATAAATAATTTTTAGGCTGAAACAACGCAGGTCCGTTCCCCAGTCCCTAAGAAGAGAAGATACCAAAATACTGGACCATAATAATATAAATCCACAAAAAAGACAAAAATAAGTGAAGAACGCCAAAAAAAAATGTTTATGGCACAAATGCACTGAAGCATTAACTACAAAAAGTAACAGAGACTGATGCCTTAGCTCAATATCTATCCTTAAAAATACAAAATGTTTCGAACCCTGAACAGAAAATGTACGCAGAAGTCTTACTCACTAAAGTCATTAATAAGGCAATACTAAATAAGCTGACTGAAGCTACGGATTTAACAGAAATAAATATGAATCTCGTGCAAGAACCAAATTATTATACATATAATCCTCCTGCGGCATCGTCATCGTCATCTCGTTCAAACACAACACATTACTCACTAACGCCTTTGAACTCTCCCGACCCCTTAACAGTACAGTACACACAAAGTACTTTACAAGCAAACAGTGCCCCACAAGTAGTCAATACCTCACAAGAACATAGTGCCCCTCAAGAACACAATGCCTTCCAAGAATCATACGATAATAATAATGGAGGCCTGAAATAATGTTGTATGCCGATATTCAAAACAAGTATAATTTTTTTCAATAATCTTTATACTTTATTAAGAGTTTTTTTTGTAAATTTCTGTGTAATAAAACTTTGTACATATTTATTTGTTTGACTTACTTTTAAATAATCTTTCTGCAAAACCTGGTAAATTACTTTGCATGTCTCTGGAATTATGCGACCAAGAGCTTGTGGAGAAATTCCAGTACTAAACTTCAAGCATTCATAACTTCTTCCGGTGGCCAACATTCTCAAAGTTGCAACAAGGCGCTCTTCAGGTGAAATACTCTGCCTCATTACCGTATCTTCTTTTCGTATGTATGGACTAACTAATTTTAACAGTTCATCAAATGTGTTAGGATCCATTCTTAAATAATTTTGGAAATCGGTAGGCTCACTTGTCCGTAATTCTCGTAACAGATTCATATCGCTGTACATTTTCCGTTTCTGAAGCCACTTCTTTGACCACATGGCGCTTCTGCTTTTTCTTAAACAAAACTTCAGTTGCAATACCAAATGCAGCAATTGCAATTATTCTTTTAGGTTTCATCTTAATATTAATAGTTTAATAATAATAAAAATAAATATTAATATTATTATTCAAAGCACACCACTTGTTTACTTGTATTGCACAACAAAAATTTTATAAAAGTCAAATCTCTCGATCCTTAGTAAAATGATCGTCTAGCGGGAAAAGCGTCTTTGTGGGGTCAAAAATATACGCCTTTCGGATTTTTCGGAGAAGTTCAAGGCTTATTAGATATTTCGAAAAAAACAAATTTTCGCTATTTTAAAACTTGTTTCTAATTCCATTATAATCTACCGTATGATCGAATAAAAACGGCGTCAACGATGGCTATGAAGTGAAGATCGCTGTTATTTTATATGTAAAATTATATGGGAAATATCATTGATCGTCATTTCATAGCCATCGCTGACGCCGTTTTTATTCGATCATACGGTATTTTAGACAAAAAGTTTTCAGATAAAAGTTGTAGATAATCACATACCTAATGAGTTTGTGTTTTCTGTTTTTTTTCTAAAGTCTGTCATTTTGACATATGACAAACATATGTTTTTTTTAGTAAACCATAGTTGGCCATGACTTCATAAAAGCGCCATTTTTTAAGCTTTCTTTTCAGCTATAGGTATAATATGTTTTTTCGAAAAATTACAAGTTATAGCCAATTCTTTCTTTCTTGGCTAATTTCAATAACAATAATACCATTCCAATTAGTTAGCATCAAAATGTAAAAAAAGTTTTATGTTTTCAAAAAAAAATATCGTAAAATCTGTAAAGCACCAATTTAGAATAAAATAATCTAAGAATGAAATGATTCTTTTATAAACCTGCATTAAATCAACTTAAAATAGGTATGTAACTTTTTTTAAATATTAATTAACAGCCAATTAGCATGCGGTAAAATTATCATAAATTATAAATAATGTACCAACATATCGAAATAATAATTTCTTTGTTAATGGTTTAGAATTTAAAAATAACAGGCAAAAATAACACAATTTACAGTAAAATAAAAGTTTCGTTTAAATTTCTTAATCAGCTGATTATTATTAAACTTCGCAGATACCCGGGGCTATATTATTACATTACTCTGAGGAAAATAACGAAAATAATCGATATTTTTGACTCCGCCCCGAAAGCTTCACGATTTGTCCTCCAGTTAGCAGCACATTTTGTCTAGTCGTTTGACCAACTTTAAGAATATATAAACAAGGGTTTTATATTGTGAACCGTAACAATTTAGCGAAGGATTTTTAAATAGTTAATTGTGTGCTGTAATCAGTATAAATGTTGTGTATATAGTGAGAAAATAAATCCTTAAGAACTTTATCGTGAGTTTAAATTAGTGGACCCATGGAATCCGTAACAGTATCATGTTTTTTAACTAAAATTTAAAAAAAATCCAAATTTCCTAATTTGTTTTAAAAAAAATTCTAAATTTTCAAAATTTTTCTTTCGCGAAGAAAATTTCTTAAATAAATATAAATATTTTTAGGAGTAGTATATTTCGACTCCAGAAACGCGCTTGTTGAGATTTTTTTGTTAATATTTTGGAAAATTTTGGATGTAAAAAACATATCTTGATAATATAACAACTTAGGTAGTAGATTAAATTTACAAGAAAGAAAACCTAGAAAAGATCCAGTGATTTTCAAAATTTATAGTTATTTTTTATACAAGACAATAAAATGGTATTTTATCATCGACCGAAAAGATTTTATCGTCGACCGACATTTCGGGAGACGATAATGTAATTTTATCGTCGTGTATCAAAGAATATTTTTTCCATAGTGAGTTACGTTTTAAAAAATATTCAGAAATTATTATTTCAAGGAATTTATTACAAGTAGAAAAAATATTGTCCTGGGTTGGCGTTGGTTTCTATGTAATTTGACAAATAAATAAAGCTGTCCCTTTAGTTGTCAGTTTTCAGTCAATATTTTTTAATTCTCGTTCATGTCCATTGCTGATTGAATTGGAACCAGAAATGTCTCAAAACGAAATAAGCAAATTACCAACAGATATTCAGGCTGAGGCGACAAGCGTCATAAACAGACTACTTCCATTTAAATCCCGAATAACTTATGAAAAGGAATACAAAAATTTTCAAAAATGGATGCAATTGGAAAACGTGCCAAAAAAATAAGTTTTTAACCTATCCTCGCTGTTAAATTATCATTTAATCTACCCTTGCGGTTAAAGTTCTATTTTATCTTCTATTTTTGATAGATATAAGGCAATTTTAACAGTTGCTATGGAAAAAAGTAAAAAAAATATTTATTTTTTTTATATTTTTAAAGTAAAATAACTCCGTGATTTTGGACTTTGAAAAGCGATAAAGAGAAAAAATGTGTCTTTTCACAAAAAAAAAACAACGCTTTATTGTACAAAAAGCCAAAACAGCTTCATCGACAAAGCAAAACAAAAAGCACAAAAACAAATATACAAATAATAAAAAAAAATTACACTAAATCACCACAATACACCAAAACACTTTTACTTTTACACTGGACGCGCGTTTCGCTAACCATGTTAGCATCATCAGCGGATGATTATACACTAAAATACAATCTACAAGTTGAGCGTTTATATACTCGCCCAGTAGGTACCGAGTGGGCGTGGCAAAATCTAGCCAACCGAATCAGAGCCAACTGAACGTAACAAAAATATCATCCACATACCTAAATCATACTCTTGGAAAATACTCAAACTGATTCTTAGCCTCCACTTCAAACCTGCTCATGAATAAATTAGCCAAAAATGGAGACAATGGATTACTGTGATAATGTAATCCATTGTCATTACTACGATAATGTAATCCATTGTCTCCATTTTTTGGCTAATTTATTCATGAGCAGGTTTGAAGTGGAGGCTAAGAATCAGTTTGAGTATTTTCCAAGAGTATGGTTTAGGTATGTGGATGATATTTTTGCTGTTTTTGACACACATTCAGACACCATAGATAATTTTATTTCTAAGTTAAATAATCGTTTTCCTTCCGTTAAATTTACGCATGAAATCGAGAACAACGACAGATTACCATTTCTAGATGTATTAGTTATTAGAAATACTAATAATTGCCTGGAATTTGATATCTATAGAAAAAAAATACCACCACACGCAGATATATTCCTAATGCATCACATCATAGTGCTGAACATAAAATGGCTAGTTTAAATTTCTTAGTTCATAAATTACTTAGTTTCTCACTTTCTAACGAAAGATATGAAATAGAAAGAGATTACATTAGGAATGTAGCTGAGTGTAATGGATATTCTCCTTCACTAGTTGATAAATTAATTAGAAAACGTAGGTAGGTTAATGATTTCTGAAAATTCGACTTTTCAAGTGGAGAAAGATACGTCTAAATATTTTTCAATACCGTTTGATAGAGAGTTATCCCGTGGTCTAAAAAGGCATTTTAAGAATGTCAATTATAAACTTGTGTATAGTGCTAATAATAAATTACAACAATTATTAGGTAATCCAAAGGATAAAACACCTCCACTGGAAAGGTCGGGTATTTATGAAATTTCTTGTAAAGATTGTAATCAGAAATATGTTGGGCAAACTAGAAGATCGATATTAACTAGATTTAAAGAAAATTTAGCTCAGATAAGATATGGTAGACCGGATAAATCTTGCGTTGCCGAACATATTGTCGATAAAGAACATTGTATAGATCTTAATAATTTAAAATTAATTAAACAAGTCTCAAATTACAGACAATTAGATGCATATGAAAGCATCAGAATTAATAAATGTAAAGATAGTATGAACAGAGTCAACGGCCCAATTCCTTCAAGTTCTTTGTTCCTACTACTCTAGTGGCGGAAATTAACTGTTACGCTCAGTTGGCTCTGACTCGGTTGGCTAGATTTTGCCACGCCCACTCGGTACCTACTGGGCGAGTATATAAACGCTCAACTTGTAGATTGTACTTTAGTTTACAATCATCTGCTGATGATGCTAACATGGTTAGTGAAACGCGCGTCCAGTGTAAAAGTAAAAGTGTTTTGGTGTATTGTGGTGATTTAGTGTAATTTTATTTTGCTTTAAACCGGTAATTTAAAACGACCGAATGCATCCTTCTTTTATTTAGTTTCTGCGTCTTACTCATTGCTGGGAAACTTAAATGGAAATGACAGTTCATTAAAAGTAGTTTTTCCTCCAAGATACAGAGGCGCAAAATATTAAAACTGTCAATATCAACAATGCAAATGTCTATCTGACAATAAAATTTGACTTTTAACTGACACTCAGAGACGCCTTTGTTGTAATTTTACGGTTTGATTTCGTTTTGATATGTGGAATTATTGTAAAATTAAATTTCTTCAGATTTTTTGGCAATGGATTCTGTTTTTTAAAAATGGTGGAACAATTTGTGTTTTGTATATAGTCTTAGTTATTTTTTATCATGGAGTTTAATTGTTGTACACCGGGTTTCCGAAGGATATAAAGGTAAGTAAATTAAATATATCTATTTACAGTTATAGGTTTTTTAAATTAGTACTGCTAATAAATCCTAATTGCTGAGCAGTTATTTAATTTTTTTACGGTGCATGTAAGGAATTAAAGACGCGCATTGCGTTATATTCGCATGATCAGCAGATTATTAAATCTAATTTAATTTGTTTTTATTATTTCAGGTCTCAAACGGAAACAAACTGGGAATCTTGCTTACACCAAAATTATATAACCGTTTCCAATTCACTTCAAACGGAGGAAAATTATGTAAAACTGCCTGCTGTTTGGTGAAAAACCGCCAAAGTTTAAATTATAACTGTAACAACTTAATATATACTATTACTAGTATTTTTAATATTTTTTTAATTAATATCCGACATATAAGAACACTTTGTATGCTTTTAATTAAGTTGATTTATCGTTTATAATATGTTCGATCTAAATAAGAGCACACAAAGTGTTCTT